TTATACGGGCAATCGAGAAGATCCTTCCGATATAAAGATCCTAAAAAGGTATTAAAGATTCCATGATAAATTTTCCATGTCGTTTCCGGTTCGCTTTGGGCCATAATAGTTCAAAGTACCTTCATTAGATGTTTAGGATTTTCGAAAGTAGCCTTATTTTGTTTTTGCGCCTAAAACATTTTGCTCGAGCTTACAACAACTCATACTGATAACCTTAATCGAACCATGCATACGACATTTTTGTTATTTGAATGATCTAGAAAATCCTCCGCATGGTTTAGGAACGTGTTTACGAGGTGATAGTTCATGCTAAAATACAGATGCAGGTCAATTCTGATTGTGCGGACTGCACTTACCTGGGCCAAACGGTTGGTATTATCGGTTCTTAGTACAACTCGACTAGTACTAGAGTACAATTATTAAGGGAATGCTTTCCTACTGAAGATATAATGCTATTTTTGGAATAAATAAATTAAATCGTATTGCGTCAAAAACTAAAAACAGATCAACACTATCACAACGGAATATAGGAAAATCCTCAACCAATATTAAAATAATTACGTTTTTATTGCAGAACTATCTTTTGGATCTGCTGGAAAATGTGTACAAAGACGTTTCGCCGAATAATTTCACCGACGATGCTGATAAGGGCGAAGATATGCTCAAGCTATTCAAACGTGTGGAAATTTTGAATATGGCCTGCCATTTGGGGCATCGAGACTGCATATTAGAGAGCGCGCGTCACTTTCAGAATTGGATTGAGGTGCCCAACCCGGACACAAATAATCCGTAAGTAGCATGAGTTTTGTTGAAAAATATTTTTTTTACTGATTTACATTTTTTGGGAACTCATTAGCATACCGCCAAACCTACGCGGCATCGTTTATTGCACGGCAATACAATATGGCAACGAGTTTGAGTGGGACTTTGCATTCCAGCGCTACCGCAGCACGTCGGTCTCGACGGAGAAGGAATTGCTGCTCAGCGCGCTTGGCTGCTCGCTCGAGCCATGGATCTTATCGCGCTATCTGCGGCGCTCAATTAGTGGCGATGACATACGCAAACAGGACGTTTACAGGGTGTTCGCGGCGGTATCAAGCAATGTGGTGGGCCAGCAGATCGCCTTCGACTTTATGCGCAACAATTGGAATCAAATCAAAAATTAGTAATATTAAATTTTTTAAACACAATTTTTTTTTTTTGTAATTTTCATTACGTTTTCTATTGTGCAGCTTGGGTTCAACGATGTCCAATATAAATGCGATACTGAAGTTCGCCACCAAACGCATGAATTCGAAATTTTTCCTCGCCGAGCTGGAGTCGTTCGTTAAAACCGATGTTAAGGATAACGGTCGTTCCATACAACAAATTCTCGAACAGGTGCGTGTCAACGTGGACTGGATGGCACGCAACTACCAGGACATCATACAGTGGCTACAACGCGAGGCAATCACAAGGCAACAACAAAATGGTGCTTCTCTAGCGACTCATTAGGTCAGCAGCGATTTTTTAACGGGATTTTGTGTATTTTTTATTGTTGTGAAATACATGCAAAATGTCATATACGTGTGCTCTTTGTTGTTGCGCGCCGATGATGTCGTACACTTTCAAGTATTCTATGTGTGTATGTTTGTAAGAAATTTTTTTAAAATCTGCAGCGTGTGTGTGCGCCAATTGAACCAGTAAACAGCAACAATTTTCTAACATATTTACATATTTATAAGTAAGTCGTGCATATCTTTACCCATAAACACTCACACATATGTATGTGTGTATGCAAACATATTTACAAAAAAATATAAAATTTGGTCATAATTGAAAAAGTTAGACTTCTAACATACACACATACTATAAATACACACACATGCATATATTTTATATAGTTAGTCTTTAAATACATTATTATAAGCAGCAAATTATGAATATTATCTTTAGGTGTATTTTTATTTAACTTATGTATAATGTGAATGTGTAAAGTGTGTACTTAATACAAATGAAACCTTTTCTTTTTGCATTTTTCTTTCAAAACAAAATTACTAGGGTGAACCTTACAGTAAATAACGCCTCAAATTATAAATTAATTATACGTGAAACGGGGTTTACAGTGTACAGAAATTCAAAAAAAAAAAAAATGTATGATTTGCAGTTATTATTATAATTTTCACAATTTCAAAAAAAATTTTAAAGATAATTTTAAAAATTTTAGTTCCAAATACCAGATAGATAAAAGGAATAAAATTTAATCCCAAATACCGCATCGAAAAAACTTTTTTTATCCCAAAATATCCTAAAAACCGATTTGAAAAAAAAATCTTACCATTAAGTTAAAAATATATTATTTTCAATTATTAATAGTATGTTGAATTAAAATGATGTTGGAATTACAACTTGAAAGTCTAATTGTCTTGGATTAAAATTTAAAGTTTCAATTTTAATTTCCGATGTTGGGATTAAAAATTCACAACTTTAATAAAAATTTTGTTTTTAATTCAGAAATTCGCATAGCATTTCATGTTAATAACCAGATAAACAGAATATAGTTCTCATATATGACCACCACTGTAGGATTCAACGAATAAAAAATTGAAAACAGTTACACATAACAAAATGGTGATACCCGAATGTAACCACCGATACGAGTATTTCAAATACATACAACATATTTGCAAATATTTGAATTTTGATTATTCAACTTTTAATTTAAAACAAAAATGGCAAAAATTTATGTGATTTCGAAATTTTTTGCAACGCTGCAAGGCGCTCATGAAATAGGGTCTTCGTGATGTCAACATAACCAAACATAAATGTGTGTACAATGAAGTACTTCTGCTATTTCACAATATTATCAAAGACAAATATAGTAATAATAGGAAAATAAAAAACCGCAATACTTTTAAAAATAAATGTACGTATATAAAAGTTGATTTTAAGTTCACTATTAACAAAAATCTGGTTTTAATAATAACAACTAAAACCAGATAAATCGATAGAAATTCTTAGTTCACGATATCGATACATACCTACTGTTATCGTAACTCATCAGGTATTTGTTGATTGTGTAGGAGATGTTTCTTAAACCATATAAATTACGGAGTAATGCTCCATTAAAAGGATCTGAATCAAAACGTTTGCGACAACGAGTAGAAAAGGCATTTCCCGATGCAACGGCCGAGCAACTCAGTTTAGTGATACCAGCAAAGAGCGCCGTAACGCAGCTGAAACTGACAACGCATGGCGGAACACAAACGAACGTTTTCTGTGTGGACAAGTTGCCCATGTTCTTCGAACTGGAGTCAGGCGAGTTGGCACCTACCTTGTATGCTTTGTGGCTAGTGCCGTCATTGCTGCCCTATTTCACCACACACCGTGAAGTACTGCCGAAACTGACCAATGGTGCTGAGCTAATGTTGCCCGGTGTAGTGCCCAAAGGTACCGGTATGAATATGTATGGGCGCTATAGGCAAGGACAGTTGATAGCAGTTAATTTGGTTTCCAATGAGTCTGCTGTAGCAGTGGGTTATTTACCCAGATCTTCAGATGATTTGTACATGTGCGGTCGTCAGGGTGTAGCCGTGAAGATGTTGCATATATTCGGTGATAAATTGTGGGGTCATGAGCCTACCTTAATACAACAGGTACCATTAAAAAAAGCGGCGCCATTAACGAAAGACGATTTTCCAGAACTGGGTACTAAGCAGGATAAACAGAAAAAGGATGAAAATGTTAAGCTAACGTTGGCGGATATTGTAGCCAGTACACAAATGACTGATACAATTAATCGCGAGCCAACATTACCGGACGTAGAAAGATTGGAAATATCTTCAAGTGAAATAGACATAGAAACTAATAAGAATATATCCATAGAGAATGGTGAAAACGTTGTCGTTGAAGAATCTAAAGCGGGTAGCGAAACAACTCCTGAAATGATACTGAAAAATGCTTTCTTAGCAGCACTGAAAAATCATGGAAAAAATTTGCAGTTGCCACTTTTGACCAGCAATTTCTATCGTTTATATGTTGTGCCTGAGGCTCCTCAGCCAATTGACTTGAAGAAAACCAAATACAAGAAACTTTCGAATTTCCTCAACGAAATGATCGATCAAGGCTTTATTGTTGTACGTGAAGAGTCAAAGGGCGTGGATAAAATTACATCCATAGACCTTGATCATCCAGAAGTGATTAATTTTATAACCGATTTCAAACCTCCAAAACAAGCCGCAGATGGCGAACAACAAGATCAGCCTCTATTTCGTTCAGAGTTGACAGAAACTTATATTGTTTCGGACGAAACAGCGCCTTTCTTTGCTAAAATGAATTTTAAGCGCGGCGAAGGTGTCCCAACCGCACAAATTAAAAAGATTATACGTGAATATATCAGCAAGCATAATCTGCCTAAAGCTGATGCGACAGATGGTACTATACAGTTAGACGAAACGCTTGAAAAACTATGTAACAGTAAGACTGCAACCGTCAGTCAAATTTGCAGTGCCATCACCAGCAAAATGGAATACAGCTATCAAATGTGTGAGCTCAAGAATGTAGCTTCTAACAAGCCGCTCATACAAATGTCGCTTGCAACTCGTTCTGGTAACAAGAAGGTAACGCTGATCAGCAACGTGGAGTGCTATGGCATTATCGTTCCAGAGTTTATTAAACTGTGTAAGCAAGGTGCGGCGGCTAGTACCACAATTGTCAAATTGCCGCATCAAAAAGCCGAACAACTGCAGATTCAAGGCAATCAAGTGCGATTTGTTTATAACTTATTGACCGAAACATACAAGGTACCACCAAAATGCATATTAGGATTAGAATTGGCAAAAGATGGTAAGAAACACAAGAAAAAATAAATCAACAGCACAACATTAATTAAACGCCTAACTAGAAATAACGTGGTTCAACAAAGTTGGATTGTAACGAAATAAACAATAATCTAAAAGGAACATTTATTTGTTTAAATTTTAATAGTAAAAATATTTTGGGTCCTTATGAAACACAATAGCTAATTTTTAACAATAATTTATTAAAGTTTCATAAATTTAAATATGAATTCTCCACAACAACAATAATATTTGCATTCTTACGGAGTTTCTACTATTTCTAATAGCCGTTGTATTGCCATGTGCAATTATGGATGTCCGTATTTTTTATAATCCCCAACAGATTAATGTCTTATGTATGTTTATATTACTTTACTTGGCTTTGCCTTGAGCTGCAACAGCCTCAATTGCTTTTCGTACAGTTTCTTCGTCACCAAGGAATTTCATGGAAACAACGGGTTTGAAGTTCTCATCCAATTCGTAAACGAATGGAATGCCAGTGGGCAAATTCAATGCCATAATCTGATCCTCAGAAAGATCTACAAAAAAAAAATGTATAAATAAGTTTCATGCCTTTAATCTTTCCAGGTTATTTAACTTACTATCCAAATGCTTAACAATACCACGCAGACTGTTACCATGAGCAGCGATAATAATTTGCTTGCCTTCCTTCAATTGTGGTATGATAACATCATTCCAGTAGGGCAGTGTGCGTTGAATAGTCAATTTAAGGGATTCGAATTTGGGGAATTCTTCTTGAGATGGGCCATTAGCATAGCGGGGATCCTTAACGATGACATCATAGTAAGGATGATCGGGTTCCATTGGTGGTGGTGGAGTATCAAAGCTGCGGCGCCAGATTTTGACTTGCTCCTCACCGTATTTGGCGGCAGTTTCAGCCTTGTTCAAGCCGGTAAGACCACCGTAGTGACGTTCATTTAAACGCCACGACTTATTAACTGGAATACCAGATTGACCGCTTTCGTTCAGAATAGTTTCCAAAGTGATAATAGCACGATTTAAAACCGATGTGTGTGCAACATCAAATTTCAAGCCAGCATCTTTTATGGCTTTTCCTGCAGCTTGTGCTTCAGATTTTCCTTTATCACTTAAAGCTGAATCAAACCAACCGCAGAATTGATTCTTCTGGTTCCACTCAGATTCACCATGGCGGACCATAACAATTCTATATTTTCCAGACATTTTTATTTAAAATATACGTTCAACCGTATCTGACAAACTTGATGTATACAGCTTTAGATAACACCAATGGATACGAATTCCTGAAAGGAAAATTTTATTTGACCTATAAATGACAGCCACAAGGTCATTTGTAGAAAATGACAGTAAAAAGCCGATATTCAGCTATTCAGCAAGTGGGAATTTGAAGAGATGCATTTCACAAGATGAAAAGATGACATAGTACTTTTGCCGAATACAGATTATATTTTATAATTACTTATAATGCGATCCTAGAATAAGTGTCAATTTTACGTTTTTTTTCATTTGATTTAGACTTGGACAAACTTTATAATTTTCTTCAGTTAATCTGTATTACATATTGCATATAATTTTGATAGCGTCGAATCTACTTGGCTTTTCCTTGCGCAGCAACAGCTTCCATTGCTTTTCGTACAGTTTCTTCATCGCCTAAAAATTTCATGGAAACAACTGGTCTCATGCACTCATCCAATTCATAAATAAACGGTATACCAGTGGGTAAATTCAGTGCCATTATTTGATCTTCGGATAGATCTATATATACAGTTAATTAGTGTTTGCTTGTAGTCACGATTTTGCAAATACTTACTATCTAAATGCTTAACTATTCCTCGCAGACTATTTCCATGAGCCGAAATAATAATCAGTTTGCCTTCTTTTATTTGCGGTACTATTACTTCATTCCAATAGGGTAGCGTTCGCTCTATAGTGAGTTTCAGTGATTCAAACATGGGAAACTCCTCTCTTTTAGGACCATCTCTATAACGTTCATCGTTAACAATGTTATTGTAGTACGGATGATCCTTTTCCATGGGCGGAGGAGGCGTAGCAAAGCTTCTGCGCCATATTTGAACTTGCTTTTCACCATATTTTGCAGCCGTTTCGGCTTTATTTAACCCAATGAGATTACCATAATGACGCTCATTTAGACGCCATGTTTTACAAATGGGTATATCCGTTTGTCCAATTTCTTTCAATATTATGTCCAGTGTGATGATAGCTCTACAAAGTAGAGAGGTATGAGCGTAGTCAAATTTATAGCCCGCATTCTTTAAAGCTTTTGCTGCTGCTTTTGCCTCATCTAATCCCTTTTCACTAAGCGCGCTATCATACCAACCGCAAAACTGATTGCTTTTATTCCATTCAGATTCTCCATGACGAACCATCACAATTTTATACTTTCCACGCTTTTTACTTGGTTCATGTGATTGACGCACATTTGTTGGCGTTTGTGTGGGATAGTTGCGATTCCATGGCTTATAAGCATAGGAGAAACCAACGGCCGTGCTAAATTGCCTCCTGAAAGTTATTCGAAATTTACCAAATACGGTAGATAGCCGTAATGCCATATTGCGAAACTAATGCCAAATTAATTCAGCGCGTCAGCTGACTCGTAACAAACAAATTTGTGGTTGCAAGATGTAGTTAATTTTAAAGTAAATATAAATTTGAAGCCAAAAACTATTATATTGAAAATTAATTTTTTCTTCAATTTTATAACTTTCAAAATAATGTAAGCAGTATATAGTTCATTAATTTTGTTCCTACTTCTGACAATGTTTATAAACTAGAATTTGGCAATTTCGACCATCTCAACAATTCGTATATATATAATGTAAAGCTTGGCAACACTTTGCTTCCATTTTTTTTTAATTTTGTATACACAACAAAACAAAGTGGAAGCCAGCTACCAGTTTGGTGAAAAAGTCGCGAACAAAGGACTATGCAATGGAATCATCAATAACTGCTCTGGCGGAAAGTAATTGGAAAAGGGTTGGAGGTTGTGAACTATCACAAACCCTACAAACTAGAACAACGCATGAAGACATTTTCATAAGGTAAACATTTTTTTTTGATTTCTTGAATATATTTGCTTGACAATATTTTGCAGACCTTCTTTGGATGAAATTATAAGAGATGAAAATGCAGTTCTCCTTAAGAAAGGGGAATCCAATGATGCATGCGAACTTCTGGTTTGTTTGAAACGGCCCTTTTATAAAATTGACTCCTTATCTTTAGTGTGTACAACTCCAAAACTAGAACTCTTTCTGGGACCACTTAAAGAATACGCAGAGACTTTGTACGGAGAAACTGCGGACGATGAGGATGATAATGACGACGGTGAAGTATTCTCATACCGTTATGATATTGAAGTGCAGAAATCAGGAATTACTGAGGTGTTACTTAAGGTAAATAGTGATACCTAATTATAAAGCATTATCTAATTATGATTTTATAACATGCACCCAGTTGCTTACACCAACGGACGATATCTGTATATTTGGTATTTTAATACAAATGGCACCCAATCCCAATGGCATAACGACGGGAACAGAAATTAATATGGAAAATGTTCAGAAGATGCTGAACACGGGACAGAAAATATCACCAAACGCTGAGAAGTGCATGTTATTTATGCAAACAGCCAAGCAAATGCAAAGTATGGGAAACGTTCAATCTAACTCAACACTTTTAGAACACATGAAACAGGCATTGGCCAACCGAGAGACACATTCATCGGAGCTCGAAGCTGCATTAAAGACTCACATAGATAATAGGTTTGAACAATTAGAGCGTAAGATTACTACACATTTAAACACGCTGCTGTCAGAGCAAAACGAAAAACTTGATAAAATTTTGCAAATTATGGAAAATGGAAAACTTAATTAATCATGTAACACATCCATATAAGTTTAAGTTCAGTTTTAATAAAGTGACAATGGAAGTATTTTGCGAGCATCTTGTTTTGATGCATTTATGTACATATGTAATATTAATTTGAAATTTTTTAATCGATGCTACTTGGATTTGTATTCGGTTAAAAATGTTTAATTGGTAGAGTTCTTGGACATTATAGGGGGGAATATCTTTTTCTGCTACAACCTTTCTCTTCCTCCGATTATCTCCAGTTTGAGCGTACATTTTCCCTCGCTTTAAGACGTTTACCTTCAAAAGTCATTACATTTTTTTGTTTTTATCGTCAATTCACTGACATTCACCTAATTTCGTTTTGTCTTTGCTAAACCTTATATTAATATGGCGACACCAACTTTGCTAATGTATTTTTTTTTGTATATAGCAATAAAATTCATTTCACAAACCTAGATTTATACATTAAAAATGCAAGTAAACAGTATACAGCTGATTGGGTGAGCTCGCCACTGCTTGGAGAGTTTCTGAATGACAGTAGCGGGCAATAAATGGTACTGCTTTTATAAATTAACTTTTGATATCTTTTATTTAGCTTTAATAAAATATTTAAATAACAATAATAATAAATAAATAAAAATAAAGAAAGTATGTATTTATTATTAATGTTTAAATTTGGATATTTTTTTTTAATAATTAAAGAATAATTGTCAAGGTTTTCATTTTGAGAAAAAAAATGTAAATACACATATTTTGCCAAATTTCACGTTAACCAGAATTTATGAGTTTAAAATTGTAGAATACGGACTCTAAAACAATTTTTTTTAATAAAATTAGAATGAAAATTTTTGACTTTAATTTAATTATTTATTTAATGCATTATTGCAATCCTGACGTTAGCACAAATTTCAGCTCAAAACAGAGTCGCGTAAATTATACTCAAATGACAATGGAGCGCAATCCAGTAAATTTCCTGCTGGGTGGTTGCCGAATTCAAAATACTACTGTCGTGTGTTATGCAATGAATTATTCAAGTTCTTTGCATCTCATTAGCAGCAACAAGAGGATATTGCTTAAAGCTGTTATATACTTGCATTTATATAATTGACAGACGAAAACGAAAGAAGCAATGAAATGTGTATGTACATATGTATGTAAGCGTATGAAAATGTTAAATTTAAACAAATATTTAGATTATGATTAAATAAAAAAGTTGCTCACCTCTGATTATAAAAGACATACATATGTACATACTTTGCAAAAAAAGCAGAAGAAGCAATGCATATGCAATATATTCCATACACAATCAAATGGAAACGATTCGGCTCGCGCAGACAGACGATCTGAAACGAGAAACTGCGCGTAAAATTAGAAAGATTTCTTAATTAAATAAATTTTAGAACATAATTGCTGAATTGTAATCATAATTGTACGAGGAAGATTTTTTGTGACATTGTTGAAATATTTTTTTATGTTTTTACTTAATACATTGGTTGTCTTTGGGGAGGTTGATCATATTTCTAAACCTTGCTAGGTTATAAACTCCCAATAACCCAACTTCCCTTTCTCTCCATGCGAAACAACTCCTTCATAGTGTGGGACCCCTTCGCAAAGCTTGGTTCTGGACTCATCAGCCTGGAGACTGCGCTGCAGGCTAATAGCGATATGACTTCATAAGTTGTGCCACTTGACTATCGCTGAGTATAGCAATATGCTGGTTGCGATAGTTGCGTTGAAAAACATTCTATTGGTATGAGGTCCTCCAATGATTGCTCCAATGCCTTCAGGTTTCGTACCGTCAGTGTACCACTGGATAGTGTTGGGCCAGGGGGCCAGGGGTGCGTCTTCCCCTAAGACTTACATTTGTTGAAACGAAATTAACTTCCCTTTGCCAAACACTCTGCTTTCATGAGCAGCATGGTATGCTTCTACTACTAGGGTCCATAGATTAGGTTGAACTAGGATAGAACTCCAACCTGTGGGTAGCCCGTTTTTCTTTTCGATCCGTTTTAGCAAGAAGGAAATGAGATATATTGGCCTGACGATTTGGTCAGCAAGTAGTCCTTCCTCCTGGTCCAACACCGACCAGCGCAAGAAATCTTGCACACCTTGTTGCAAAAGTGTTGGCAAGATGCCGTCCCATCTGGTGACTTATAGTACGAAAAGGTGACTAGTGCCTACTTGATTAAGCCTGTAGTGAATAATTTTCTTGCAACCGTCCAATCCGAGCGATCTGGCCTATATGCGACCATTGGTGGAATTTGGTCATACCAAACAAAAAGTCTTATGCATCTGGAACCTCTATAGGTTGTTATGTGCTGGCTTTGTTAGAAAGATAATGAAATGACTGCCTGAGCATTGAGACTATATTAGACCACCATGAACAGGTTTGTTTCCCGGTGGTCACCTTTAGTGGACGGGCGCAGTAATAAACATCCATTTTGAACTGGCTTATATTTAGCCCTAGAATTTCCCTAAAGACATAACAGTTCTTTTTTTTTCCAGAGATAAAAATCGGCGGTCCAGTATGATCCTGTGAACTGACATTAAGAGTAGGCCGAAGGAAGATAGGCCGATACAAGGATGAAGTCAGAACTTTCCTTGTTCTTTACCTGCACTACTGTTAGATCCTACGTTAGAAACTCTGAATTGCAAAAGAAATCTAAATCGTTTCTAACCACTACACAACAACGAGATTTGGGGATGAATGAAACCTCAAACACCTCATTTTCTGTGAAACGTGAGTAAGGGCACGGCACGGTTATTTCCCGCCTACTCAGGATTCGTTGGCGACCTTAATCCTGAGAAATTTGAGGTAGACCGCTGTTCCTTTACGGACAGTTAAAGTTTTTGGCGAAGGTTGGTTGGTGGGAGTGTCTACTGCTACTATATATCAATATCAATTTTGGAGTTCCTTATCTCTCTGCCCACCTGTAGGAAATCGATCTTTCACTTCAAAAGTGGACCGATAATATTGTCCTTGACCATGCAATCGAGGCTGGTTAAGAAATGCGTAACAATGCAACATATTTTTGCCCAAAAGTATATCCCAAGAGAATTAGCGAGCGTTTCGTACTCAGCAATGTTTGACTTTCCCTAACTGTGCGGGTAATAGTGTTAGAAATTTACCGGAAGGCAGTCGCAGAAGCGGCTTGAAAGACACTTACTTCACACAAGAAAATACGAGGTGCTCAACGACACATAAAATCTAATTAGTGGCGATTTTTTCTTAGCTTCATAAAGAACTGGTCGTAATCAGTCAAACTTCGATTCTCTCTTGCGATCAGTCACATAACCTAAGCTAAACTGTCTGAACATAGTTTAATGCTACAATTTTCAAGAAACTACCGATTAAAAGTATAGCGGACTGGGATTCGCTATTAATATAATATTGGTTAATGGTAAAACCACTCTATAACTCACGGTCTACAAGCTAATCTATTCGATTACCGCATCCTTTGACGTTACCGAACCGTACATCACACAGCAAAATAGATGCAAAACTTGACAAGCAAACACATCAAAATAGTTAATTTGATTATCAATTCGGAACTAAGCAACGAGGAAGTGAAGATCAGCAACAACAAGCAGTTAAAATTAAAAAAGCAACGAACATCTTATGAACAATAACGCTGAGATATTCGCAACTGGTTGAAGAACACATACCTCGCCTTGTGATATCATCGCTTCTACAACAACAGCAACATGTTGGTATCTTTTTCATTTTCGTTTACGAACTACCGTGTCTTCGGCACTTTATGGTATTAAGATTGATCGAAAATATGCAATCTATAATTTTGCATTTCTGAAGGTATCTCTTGAA